GCCTCAAAAGCCCAAGGTCCCAAATTCGATCCCTGGTACCAAAAAAAAAAAAAATAGGAAGATAAGTCTTTTGAAAAGGGGAAGGTAACCAAGAGATGGAGGGAGGGGAGAGAAAAGGGAGTGTAGGGAAATGAAAACAAAATTCAGATGTGTTATGTACATACACCAACTTCACAAAAGGAATGTGATCATTAGGTTCTGTAAACATGTACCAATAAAAATTAAAGATTTTTTTAAAAAGTGATACAAGTCAGAGGCTGCAGGTATGGGCTCAGGAGACACTGATAAACAGAAGATATTCAAAGCCAAAGGACCCATTGAGACACTAATAGGATTAGGGAAGTGGAAGGGGAGCAGGGGAACACACAGGATACCAAGAAGGAAGGACCCATGCAGGAGAGGAAGGAAGGTGCTAGGTGAAAACAGAGAGGGTCGCTCATATCAAATGCTGTAAAGAGCCAAGTAGGCAGTGACCAGAATGCTGGCCTGGGCTTTGTCAGGATGTAGAAAGTGTTTTGTTAGCCTTGATAGGGGCTGCACTGTAGGAGCACAAAAGAGAACCTCGGGGGTTCTGAAGACAGTGTGGGGAGTGGGGAGCTCGTGACTGGCCTGTGCTGTGGTGTTTTATCAACAGAAGATATTACCAGTGTTTCTAGTCAGCAGGGAGAACATGACAATACAGAAGCCAAAAGGGAATTCAAGACATATACGTGCTGAAGGGAGTACCAGGACCCAGTACTGGGCCCACAAGTTAGGTGCCAGTTTTTAAAGTTAGGGCAGGGTGTTTTTTGTATTTTAACAGAAGAGATAAATTATGTGGATGCAAAGCCTGGTGGTTTTGTTACTAGGGGGTGGAGAGGATGCCATCTACTCTGGTTACCTGTGACATCTCTGTAAGTACAAAGGGAGGTCAGCAGCTCTATTCTTAGCAGCCCAAAACTGAAACCAGTATGTAAGAATGGCCAACAAATTGTGGTATAGTCACACAGGAAATACACAGCAATGAAAAACTCAGAACAATGCTACTCCTGACAGTACAAATTACTCTTGCAGGCAGAATGTCTAGTGAAAGAAACCAGATATAAAAGGGCACAGGCTGTGTGACTCTTCTTCCATGAGGTTCTAGAACAGGCGAATCTTTTCCATGGCATTAGAAGCTGGAACAGGGTTGCTTGGGTGGGGGATGAGGGTCTGGGGCAGCAATCAGGGTCTTCTGGGGTAGTGAAATGTTCTGGATCTTGGTCTGGGACATTGTCACAGGGATAGATGTTTTAAAACTCAGTGTACATTTTACTATATTTGCATACTTTAAGTTATACTCCAATGTAAATAAAAAGTTTAAGGAAAGGGGTAGGGAAATTTCACAACAATTCTCCAAATTAAGTATTCTTAGCCTCTGTTTACAAATAAAGAAACCAAGGCTAAAGTGGGCACAGTGGTACACCCATAATCCCAGCACTCTGGAGGCTGAGGCAGGAAGATCACAAAATCAAAGCTAGCCTGGGCTACACAGTGAAACTCTGTGTCAAAGAAAGAAAGAAATGGGGGGGAGGAGAAAGGGAGGGTGGACAGGGAAGGGAGGGAAGGGGTAGAGAAAGGGAGAGGAAGAGAGAAGAGAAAGCTAAAGTAGGAACTGGATTCATAGCCAAGTCTGCCCAAGCCCCTGTGCTCTTTCTAGGACCCTTATGCTTAAGAGGGAAATGTGTTGTGCTCACTTCGGCAGCACATATACTAAAAAGAGGGGAATGTGTTGTGTACAAAACCATAGGGGTTCCAAGGAGCACAGTTTGACTACCATTGTTCCACACAAAACTGCCTTTTTGTGCCACTCAAGAACAAACCACCAGTCGGAGATCAAGGAGAAAGTTGGGGCTACTGTAACACTTCCCCACCCCAGCTTCCCAGCCCCGACACCCTTACTTGGGGGGGCCAGGTGGACCACATATCCATCACCAACATAGATGGCCCAGTGTCTGTAGAAAGGGCGGAAAATCTCAATCAGGTCTCCAGGCTTGGGCTCTGGCTGCAAAACAAGAACAGGACTGTTAACACACAGCCCAAGGCCTCAGAAGCAGAGGCTGGCTTGGTTAGGAAGGTGCAATCAGCGGCCCAGCAATCAGCTCAACCAATCCCTGCCCTGCCAGTCTGATGCTTGTCTGCCCCACAAGTCTGTGCTCCGGGCCTGCAGAGACCATGCTCTCCCCCCACCCCACCCCCCACAAAAAAACTTTTACAAATAACAAAGGGCAAACTTGAAATGTTTCTTCATAGCTGGAGTCTCTGGCTTATTGACACTCTTCTAAGAATACTACTACTGGCCTCTTACTCCAACCAAGGCCCACTGCTGCATATTTTCCAAGCATGGCTCATTAAATCCATACCCCCACCCTATGAGATAGGCACTATTAGGAGCTGTGCCTATGGATGAGGAACTCAAGTCTCAGAGATGTGAGAGACTTTGCAAAAGCTACACGGCTCATACAAAGAATGAGAAACTAGAGACATTTATAGCTAAATGGATGCACATTGAGGCCATTCTCTTAAGTGAAATAAATAGGACACACGTGTAAATACCAAATAGTTTCTCTAGTGTGAGAAACTGAAAGTGTGAATGAAGATCAAAATGTATAATTGATAATGTGAAATAGGAAGAAAAGGTCTAAAGGGGTAGGGAAAAGAAAAGAAGGGAAAGGAAAAAATATGAGAAAAGGAAAAAATGGAAACAAAGTCTTTGTAAACAGGGAGGAGTGGAAGGGTTGAAGGGAGGGCAGGGGAATGGAGAGAAAATAAGAACCAAGATACATCATGTACAGGTGCAAGCTCCCAATGATGAATGTAACTGTATTGTATACCTAAAATGTACCAATAAACTTAATGGAAAAAAAAAAAAAAGCTACACAGCTCGTGAGCAAGCCGGGCAAACTGATTCCCAGCCCAGTGTCTTGGCCACACACTGTCCTTCAGCAGAACCCCTGTGGTGACTTGACTAGAGCTGCCACCCAAGGCTGCCGAGTCTGCAGGGTGGCCACAGGCACCCCAATCTGGCCTGAGCCTGACAGAGAATTGCTCAGTCTCTGGCAATAATCTGCTCACAGCTGCTAAGCCTAAGAACGTGAGTGTGCATGAGAGACAGGTGTGTGGGAGTGCATAGGAGAGCATGAGGCTGTGTGTGACAGCATGCATGAGTGTATATGTGTATGTGGAAGTGAGACTCTGTTAGGGGAGCAGGAAGCAGGGTTTGAGAAAACCAGAGAGATTCAAGATCACATCCTTTGAACACTGCTGACGCCCCAGTGTCAGACCCTGTGCTGCGTTCTGGGGGAGGGGTGTCCTGCTCAGCACAATAAAGATGTGGGGTGGGGGTTCTGGCCCACTTGCTCCTAGGCAAACACCTAGGCGCAGGTCTTTGCCACATCCCATCCCAAGCTTGGTGGGCCTCCTGAGAGACCCCTCAAGGATGGGGGTGGTGAGGACCCACCCTTCACAGCCTCCTGTAGGGTAAAACTGCCAGGCAGCGAGAGCTGCTGATCTCAACTCTACAATGTCTATGAAGCAGGGTCCATGGCGATTTAGTTATTACTGCACGGAAACATTAAAACAGTTAACATGCATCATATATGGTGGAAAAAAATCTTTTCACGGGTCTTTTACACTTAAATCATGTTCTCTTCTTGCACTATGCTTTTTCTTCCAAAGAGAGGGTGCCTAGTTCTTATTCAGAACATCTTTCATGGCCACGCATGGTGGTGCACACCTGTTATCCCACCACTGTGGGAAGCTGAGGTAAGAGAATTCCAAGTTCAAGGCCAGCCTGGGCAACTCAGCAAGACTCTGTCTGGAAATAAAAAATAAAAAGGGTTGGGGATGTAGCTCAGTGTGAAGGCCCTGGGTTCAATCCACAGCACTGGGTGGTGGGGGTGGAGGGGACCTATTTCAGAACAATGGTCACAATTAATGAATCCCATTCCTGTTTGTTTCCCAGAACAGAAAAGGGGAACTAATTGTTTGGTCAAAATTAGGGGGTCTTCTGGCATCCCCAAAGGAAAATCTAACTAAGGAGATTTCTCCAAATACACATGGACATAATGAGAAGGCAGAGACCCAACCCTGAGAGGCTGCAGTCTGGAAAAGTGAACATCAGTAATATGCTGTCAAGAGGGAAAGGGCAGGAAGTACAGAGACCCAGGAATTCACTTTATTCTGGACAAGGATTGATGATGAAAGGAGACTCACATTCCGGCATAAAAAAAGAAAAAGGAAAAATCTTATTACAATGACAAAAGTAATTTAAAATATCATAATAGTTCAGGTGGAAAAACTACTTAGTTCTCTATAGAGGAACAGTGGAAAAATCTAGAACCAAAAATCTATATAGTGTATGGTTCCATTTATATATCATTGCGGAAAAGGTATAAATATAGGACAGGAAATGGACGGCAGTCTTCAGGGGCCAGGGAGGAGAGGGAGTGACACGAAAACAGCACGAGGGGAGATGGGGCGGTTAAGCTT